TGTGATCCAGGGCACTTGTCGAATCACCGCCGTCGATGACAAAGCTAGATCGTTTGTGGAGGATGTGAGCGAGGGCGATTTGTGGCTGTTCCCCGGCGGTATTCCACATTCTTTACAAGTAAAGTTACCAGCTACTATTGCATATTTGTGTACTGTATAAATATATACCGGTTTATAATAGTTTTTATAAGTCCTGAAGCATTATAAGACCATAATTTATTTGTGCATTAATTATTATTTATTACTACTAATTATAATTGAATATTTATTTGTCTAATCACCAGGGTTTAGGACCAGACGGGTGCTTTTTCCTACTGGTATTTAACGATGGCAATTTTAACGAGTTCGAAACATTCCTACTCAGCGATTTTATGCGACACGTACCCCGCGATGTGCTAGCCAAAAACTTTCAGGTAGAGTGACCAGTGATTGTCACAACATATAACAAAATAACACAACAAAAAATCTCAAAATTATTACCCAGGTGCAAGAGTCCACGTTCGACAACCTGCCCCAACACGAGCTGTACATATTCGCCAGTGAACTGCCGCGACCTCTAATGCAAGAGAAAGAGATGGCCGCCGAGAAAACGGGTGAAGTACCGCAATCCTACGCATATTTCGCGTCGGCCCAACCGGCGAACGCCACGCGATGGGGCGGTACCGTCAAAATCATTGACAAACGCAACTTCCCGGTGACCGACATCGCGGCCGCCATTATTACGCTCAAACCGGGCGGACTCCGGGAACTTCACTGGCATCCGAACTCAGACGAGTGGAATTACTGCGTGTCAGGTAGAGTGGCCAACAAAAATTACAATAACAATAAAAATTTTAATATTTATTTTTATCATAATATTTTATTAGTTTGATTATAACTTATTAGTAAAATATTTTATTTTTAAACTAGTTAATTCTTTAAAAATAACAAACAATCTGTTCACTCTATCTCACAGGCAAGGCCCGGGTGGGCGTATTTTTCGCCGCCGGTCGGTCGCGTACAATGGACTTCGAGGCCGGAGACGTGGGTTATATACCACAGTCGGTGCCCCACTATATCGAGAACGTGGGTCAGGACGATGTGGTGTTTCTAGAGGTGTTTCCCAACGATACCTATGTAGACATAGCGCTGGCCACGTGGTTGGCGCACACCCCTACCCGACTGGTCAATGAGCACCTGTTCACTGGCGAGCGTTTTTTGGCCGATATTCCCAAACGTGAGGCTGTTATTAAGCCATAGGGTTGTACTGAATGTTAACATTTATCTATTTTGAAATGTTTTATTTTTAAAAATTTAAAATTTAATAATAAATATTATTTTTGTATATAATTTGCTATATTTTATTCATTAAAATAAATTACATTAATACGACATTTATATGTTGTAAAATTATATTTAAAAATTACTCAATTGTTGCATATTTAGTTAATGTCAATAAAATAATAATTATTAAATGCTAAACCTCTATAACAAACAATAATGTATAATTTAGTTATAATTTATAAGTTTAATTGTAGCTTATCTCCATATATAGGGTGACCACCCGTCCTCTATTACAGAGGATTGTCCTTTATTTGGATATTTTTTGAATAGTCTACTCTTAAGATTTGCTATGAAAACCAACGTTAAAACTTGTGTCCTCTATTTGTCGTAATTTTTAGTGTATGTTTTCCCTATTGTCCTCTAAAACTCTTTGTTATGTCCTCTTTTACCAAAATGGAAGTTGGTCACCCTATCCATATATGTGAATATTGAAAAAAAATTTTAAAAATATTACCATTTGCATTTTATAATGAGTATTTTGAACTCAATTTAAATTTATTTATATTAGTTGATAAAGTTTTTCAACGGTAAAATATATTAATTATTATATTTGTTGTATATTTACTTTTATCAGTTTTAAATAAACATGTTTGGCAACTTTTTATACTTTATAATGTATTGTGTTAACAAAGACAACAATTAATATATATAAATTATATAACTTTAGTTTATAATATAAAACTATATAATGTATTAACTTTAACTTGAGTGAGCAATGTGAATTAGTTAAAGAAAATATAGTAATTTATAAATGCAATTACCAAGAATTATTCCATGATTACCATACTTTCATTTATTATTTTATGGACAGTTATGTCAAAATGTGCTTGTGACAATTTGACCCCGTTTATAAACCTGCCTCTTCAGCGACAAAATCCATCATCATTTCACCCGCCCATTACTGATGCCGGAAGTCTGCCTAACTTTAAATACCCTTTTGCTTTTTCACAAACAACCTATTATAGTGGAGGTTGGGAACGACAGGTGGGTGTAATATATAATTTTTAAATTTCATTTTAATTACTATATTTAATTATCTGGCCAAATAAATATTATTAAGTTACTAAATAATAAATCTTTTGGATATATTAAGAAAGACAACTATTAATTTGTTAATAAAATATTTTAAACATGTACTTTATATATTTCATTATAATAATTAATTCTAATACGACCATGATAGCAATTATATCACTATATCACTTTATATATAATTATATAAATTATTATAATGAATATATATATATATAATGATTATACACTTTATATATATAATTGCCAATTAATTATGTTTATATCACATCCACATAGGTAAATGTACAAGATTTTGCTTTAGCGACACAAATGGCCGGGGTTCAAATACAATTGTACAAAGGTGGCGTACGTGAGCTGCATTGGCACGATTGCTCGCAGTGGACATACATAATGGATGGCACATGCCGAATTACCCTGGTGGATCAGGATGCTAGGTCTTACGTGGCGGACGTGAACAAGGGCGATTTGTGGCTATTTCCCACAGGTATCCCTCATTCCATACAGGTATATTGTGATCACACTAAGCAATTTCATTAATAGTTGGTATGTAAAATAATTAATTAATTATGCAGGGACTAGCAAGTAATGGATGCTTTATACTATTAGTATTCAATAAGGGCAATTTTAGCAGTTCCGATACGTTCCTGATTACCGATTGGTTATTACATGTGCCACTAGAAGTATTGGCTAAAAACTTTCAAGTAGGTTAATACTACATTATCACTATATATAATATTTAGCAATAATTACCATTACCAAACACGATGATCTAGGTGGACAAAAATATATTTGCCAACATACCTCACAAGGACCTGTTTATATTTGAATCAGAATTACCCCGACCATTGGCGGTGGAGAAAAAACAGGCAGCTCAAGTGACCGGGGAAGTGCCCCTACCGTATAGCTATCCGGCCGGCGCACAGGTGGCCAACTATACCCGTGCGGGCGGTTCGGCCAAAATTATTGACAAACGCAACTTCCCGGTGACGGACATCGCGGCCGCGATTGTTACGCTCAAACCGGACGCACTCCGGGAACTACACTGGCATCCAAACGCCGACGAGTGGAACTACTTGGTCACCGGTTAGTGAAGTTATGTTTTCAAAGTGTATTTTTAAATAATATTTTTATAATGAACTCACATATTATTAGTAAGCGTTTTATAAAACTCTAAACATTATAAATTACATTTAAAATGACTTAAAATAATTTACATTATTAAATGATACATTAATTATAGTATAAAGTTTACATTGGTTTAAAAATAGATTTTAAACGAGTTTATGTAATTATTTAATGCAATGTTTTTATATACACTTTATACACATCTATGACATAAAAACTGGTCACTCTATATGATAGGCAAAGTTCGTATGGGAGTATTTAACCCGGGTGGTAACGCCATGACAATGAACATGAATGCCGGTGACATCGGTTACGTACCGCAGGGGCAGCCGCACTGGATTGAAAACACGGGTACAGTTGACGCCATATTTCTCGAGGTATTTCCCGCCTCCTATTACGAGGACATATCATTGGCCGAGTGGTTGGCCCACACGCCCACCCGAATGGCCAATGAGAACATTCATACTGGCGAACAATTTTTGGCCAGTATTGCCAAAACTGAGGCAGTTATTAGACCCTGGAATCAAACGTGGTTGCCCGAATACAATCATCTAGTTGACAGCATAGAGAAATCTAACAAGTTAAATTAGTTTATTAACTAGAGTTAAATAGAATTATTCCTATCACTGTTTTTAAAATACCTTTTTATTATAACTCAATGTGATTGTTTATTAAAATTAAATGAAGGTAAGTTGACCTTGATTGAATAAAATATGTAATTAATTTATAATGGCAGTACTCAAAATACTTAGGCATTTAATTGTAGTTACTAGCACCTGTACTTTGGTAATGATGGTATTGACTTATTTAATCAAGATAACGAGATATATTTAGATTCAAATATATAAATTAATTAATTAATTATGTTTAATTATAATTCATTTAATATATTAAGTGATAATAAACAATAGCAATTTTTACAGAATAAAAAATTATTAAAATGCACATAAAATATATATACATTTATATATTTTAATTTATTATGTACTGTATTAATAATTTATAATATAAATATTATATTATAATTAGACATGACTAATATGGCAAAACCTTTTCAATTAATATACAGTATATTTAGATTTTAATCTCACAATTAACAAATTTAGTTAAGAATATTGCATTTGATAGTTATTTTATAAAGGTGTTGTGTATTATTTGAACATCTGATTGTAACTCGTGTAAAATGTAATTATCCGATATTATAAGCTAAATGTTCTGATATAAAAGCACATTGTAGTTAGGTTTTGTACAAAAATAAAATAAACCATCGTGAAATTTAAAACAACAAAAAACTACTGTTGTAATTAATAAACACAACAATTAATCGTATTATGTCCAACGTTATGAGATACCTATTTGCATTTACCATAATTACTTTATGGACATTTACCGTGGCAACACATGGTAGTGACAATTTGGCCCCGTTCATGAACCAGCCCCTTCAACGCCAGAACCCCTTATTATTTCACCCGCTCAGCACCGATGCTGGCGCTCTGCCCAACTTTAAATACCCCTTCGCGTACTCACACACCGCTTATTATAGCGGCGGTTGGGTAAGACAGGTAGGTAACCTAGATACAAGTATTTATTTACAAAGTGTAGTTGTTGGATTCAATGAGACATGTCATATTCTTATTGTCATTAATTTATATTATTAAATATTGTTGACTGACAAATAAATTTTTCGTCTAGGTAAATGTACAAGATTTTCCCATAGCGACCAAAATGGCCGGGGTTCAAATGAAACTGATCAGAGGTGGCGTACGTGAGCTGCACTGGCACCCCAGCTCCGAGTGGGCGTATGTGATCCAGGGCACTTGTAGGGTAACGCTAGTCGATCAACACGCTAGATCATTTGTAGGCGATGTAGGCCCTGGCGATATATGGCTATTTCCACCGGGCAATCCGCACTCCATACAGGTAGAGTGATCAGCTATATATTTGCTATTATATCGTGTTAGTTCAATTTTAAAATTTAATATGTTTTGTTCTAATAGTATTAAATAGTAATAATAGTATTATTATTTCAACGCTCTATCACAGGGTTTAGGTGAAGATGGGTGTTTTTTCCTATTGGTATTTAACGATGGCAGTTTTAGCGATTTTGATACACTACTACTTACCGATTGGATGAGACACGTGCCGCTGGACGTACTAGCCTTAGACTTTCAGGTATGATATGCTTTTTATATTTTTGCTAAATTTACTAATCAATTAATTTTACCAATTTCATATTTAAAATAATTTATCTACATTTAAACAAAAACATACTACCCATCCAGGTCAACCCGGAAACATTCGCCAACCTACCCCAACAGGAGCTATATATGTTTGCCAGTGAACTGCCCCGACCTTTAGAAGTGGAGAGAGAAATGGCAGCCCAGGGAACGGGTGAAGTGCCCGATTCGGTGGCCTTTTACGCCAGTCAAATGGCGCCCAACTATACCCGTGCGGGCGGTTCGGCCAAAATCATTGACAAACGCAACTTTCCCATCACTGACATCGCGGCCACTATTATAACCCTTAAACCGGGTGCACTCCGGGAACTGCACTGGCATCCAAACGCTGACGAGTGGAATTACTGCGTGACAGGTAAAGTATTTTTGAAAAATAATATTAAAATTACTTTATTATTATATATAATTATGGTGATTACATTTTTAAATATGAAATGTCAACTACTTTACAATACAAATAACATGTTTACTCTGCATAAACTATCCCGTTTAAGAAAAAAGCAGGGTAAAATATATTTTTTCAATTAATTTATTAATTAAGGTGCCCAGTCTAGTTAGGCTTCATTATAATAAAAATTATGCTATAGTTAAAATACAATAAAACTAATATACCAATGTGTTTATGCTACCGTTGCAGGCCATGTACGTTTGGGCGTGTTTAACTCGGGCAGTAACGCCATGACAGTGAACATGGACCCTGGTGACATCGGTTACGTACCACAATCACAGCCGCATTGGTTTCAAAACACCGGCACAGAGGACGCTGTGATGCTGGAGGTGTTTCCCGCCCCCTATTTCGAGGACATATCCCTCGCCGAGTGGTTGGCACACGTGCCCACCCGACTGGTCAATGAGCACATTCATACTGGCGAACGATTTTTGAACGGTATCGCCAAAACTGAAGCGGTGATACGGCCCTGGAATCGCACGTGGTATCCGAGTATGAACAAAGAGATTGGCACTGATTTGGTAACCAAAATCGAAAATGATAAAAATTAAGTTGCTAAGTAAAATTATTGTAAATTTTTTAAAAATTAATATTTTAATCATAATTGCAAACAAACTATTAACCTAACTATTTAACATTTTGTTAAAAATAATAACTTGTTGCAATTATTTGACAATTATTTTAATAAGTACAAAAACCGTGAAAGTAATTTAACCTTGATCACACGAAATAGCTATTAAAATTAATATTTAATTAAAAAAAATACTGAAATGTTTTAAATACTAAATTAATTAACTAATTATGAGTGTCAAACATCTGCTATTTATAAATGATGTTATTAAACTTATTTAAATTATCTGAACTTGTTGGGAATTATATAAATAGATAGATTTATTTATTTTTAGCATTTATATTTAATATATTCATTTAAAATATTTATAAATTCAAAAAGAATGCTATTATTGTATTTTTGTATAATCAAAAAATGTGTTACGTCTGATTTAAGCACTTGATATTACCATGATTTTAAATAACCCCAAATTATAACAAATAATAATAAAATATTCCGTCTGTATATAACTAGAGTCCTATGTAATTTAACATGAGCTTTGTAAATCAACTATTCATTCACAAAGTTACATGATTATTAAATGCAATTTATATTAATCACATCACTATGAATATTGTTAAATCAATTTACCATCTAGTTAGATGCATGACCATATGCATATTTTGGATAAAATGTTCTAGTAACGAGCACCTTAATACCAGTGACATCCAGTTTCACGCTGGTAAAGGTGACAATCTGGCCCCGTTCATGAACCTACCCCTCCAACGCCAAAACCCCTTAGCGTTTCACCCGCTCAGCACCGATGCGGGCCAAGTGGTCAATTTTAAATACCCGTTTGCATTCTCGCACACCGCCTATTATAGCGGTGGTTGGGTGCGACAGGTGTGTACTCTACTTTATTAAATTCTTATTTTATACTTTTGTAAAAATTCAACATAATTTATAGCTTTATCTATTTATTATAATTATTATTTTACTAATTATTGTGGATTAAATGAATAACATTATTTAAAAATATATTAATACTCTATAGAATGTAATCAATTCGTATAATGGTGTACAAGATTTAAAATTATAATAAATTGTAACAAATTATTTAGCTTATAAAATAACTTTATTATCTAGGTAAATGTACAAGATTTCCCACTAGCCACCCAAATGTCAGGGGTTCAAATGAAAATCTACGCGGGTGCAGTACGGGAAATGCACTGGCACCCACAGTCCGAGTGGGCGTACGTGTTGGAGGGCACTTGTCGTGTAACTCTAATTGATCCGGAGGGCAGATCGTTTGTGGGCGATATTGGCGCAGGTGATTTATGGTTATTTCCCACGGGCAATCCGCACTCCATACAGGTAGAGTGACCTATATGCAATAAAGCAATTTTATAGAGAACAATGATTATTATTTTGTTAAATTAACTTAATCACTCGCAGGGATTAGCCCCTGACGGGTGTTTTTTCTTGATGGTGTTTAACTCGGGCAGTTTTAGCGATTTTGATACTTTACTACTCACACAATGGATGGACCACGTGCCGTTGGACGTTCTAGCATTAAACTTTCAGGTTTGTTGTCTACATTTCAATTGCAACAATTCTTCGGGCACTCATTCGTTGGACTCCTGGTCATCCTATTTCCCCACTTCTAGTTAATTAAACTAATTAATACAAATTATTTAACCACCCACCTAGGTGCCTAAGTCAACGTTCCGCAACCTGCCCAAACAGGAACTATATCTGTTCGCCAGTGAACTGCCCCGACCTCTAGCGGTAGAGAAAGCGCAGGCGGCGGAAGTGACGGGTGAAGTGCCCAATTCGGTGGCCTTTTATGCCAGCAAAATGACCCCAAACTATACCCGATTGGGCGGTTCGGCCAAAATCATTGACAAACGCAACTACCCTATCACTGACATCGCCGGCACTATTATTACCCTAAAGCCGGGCGCACTCCGAGAACTGCACTGGCATCCCAACGCTGATGAGTGGAACTACTGCGTAACAGGTAAAGTCATCAATATGAAAAATTATTATATTTAACACCAGACCTAGAACAACTAAAATAATGTTAGTGTAATATTGTATTTACAATACATAAAAATTCGAGTCACAACTTACAGCTTTGCACTGCAAATTGACATAGGATTTACACACATGAATAGGGTGACCACCTTTCATTTCAAAATAGAGGACACTCATTTTAATTTTAGAGGACAAATACGGAAACATCCAATAATTATTGATGATAAATAGAGGACACAAGTTTTTACCTCACTTTTCATAGCAAATCTTAAGAGTAATTTGTTAAAATAAAGGACAATCCTCTGTAATAGAGGACAGGTGGTCACCCTTGTGTACTTATTTTAAAATTGATATGAATTCATTTGAAATGTGTTACAAATTGATACATTTGATGCCATTGTAGAACCCGATGAGCTTAAAATTTATACTGGGTTTTACAAAGATTGTTATTATTGCATGTATATAATTTTGTATAACCAACCTCGTTTACCCTACCATTTTGCAGGCCATATACGTCTGGGTGTGTTCAACGCCGGCGGTAATGCCATGACAATGGATACCTATGCCGGTGATATCGGTTACGTACCGCAGGCGCAGCCGCACTGGTTTCAAAACATAGGCAAAGTTGACGCCGTGATGCTGGAGGTGTTTCCCACCCCCTATTTCGAAGACGTATCACTTGCCGAGTGGTTGGCCCACACGCCCACCCGATTGGTCGAAGAACACTTTCATCCGGGTGAAAAATTTTTGAACGGTATTGCTAAAACGTTGGCAGTGATTAGGCCCTGGAATCGTACAAACAATCGTGATGATTCTGAGTTTAGCACCGAATCGAGCAGTCAAACAAGTTTAAACTAGTTTAAATATAATTTTTTCGTTAGCTGTATATGGATGTGTATTTTAATATTGACTATTTTAATGGGTATAAGTTCTAGTAAATAATAAACATTAAGTTACATTTATTAATCCAGAATTTATTTGTTTACAAAACGTATTTGTTCACATTATTTATTAATTATTAAATAAATTATAATAAATATAATAATTTTATTATTTATAAAAATTTTAAGTAATTTATTATGATTTACTTAAATAATTATTTGCTTATTTATATTAGTTTTAAAAATAGGATTTATTTTAAATTAATTACTAACTAACAATTAATTTTAATAGTAAACAGATTTGTTTTTTAAACATTGTGACGTTTGTTCGTTGCTTAATTAATTAAAACTATGTCACACTTGTGTTTAACTATAGATATCTATGTAGACATATGTAATTAATGTAGGCAGACATAATATGTTATGTTGCATAATATCATATTATGATATAAATATAGGGTGGCCAACTCGTAAATGTTTAATTGTAACATTTGTCCTAAAATCAGCCAAAAATAGTGGACAAATTGTGGGCATACTTTATTGCCATGTTTTTATATCTGCTTTATATATTTTTCAGTAAATCTCTTCCCAACTTTAAAACTAGTTGTAATAATTTATTAAATCGTAAGTTATACGTACATTTTACTTATCGCAATTTATAAGTTATCAACGTTTTATTGTAGTTTCTTTTTGACATCAGTTCTATTAA